AATGAAGTAAATAATAAGGTAAAAGAATAACAAAGTAATAAAATATTCGGAGCTACGGCTATGTCAAAAGAGGACATTATTTCCGTATGCCATATATGGCTTTGCTGCAATTTACATGAGTTATCTTGCCTTGCCGTTATCTTGCTCTGTACCGAAACTATTTCTTAAAACAAGAATTTGACTATGTTGAACTTTTTGAGCATTATTTTGCTTAGACTTTGCATAAATGCGATAGTTATAATTAGTATCCAGAGAGTAATTGCTAATGAATTTAGTTAGCGAAAGGGACATGATGAATTAAAAATATCTAGGTAATATAGATAGTGCAGGAGGCTATACGTATATTACATAGTGCATCACAGTATCTTCGTATAGAAAGCTACGAGGTAAATAGCATATTAAAACGTGCACACAATCTCAAACGGCGCTGGTGGCCCAATACATCATACATGAATTCATGCTAGTCATACATGGATTCATGCGAGTCTTGCCACGTCCGCAGTGATGGATGTGAGTGATACGGCCCATGGAACTCGTGCATGAAAAGCGCGGGACACGAAACTGTGTGACTGTGTATACCGTTGTATTAAAACCGACTCATACATGCTCTAAATACGCATTAATAATAAATATTTTAGTCAATTTCATCAACTGCCTTCAAACTAAGCTGGTTATTTTTAGCGCATTTTCTCATTTATGGAAAAAATGCACTATTGTGCTCGCCATGTCCACTGTTAGAAAAAACGGTAAAAAACGGTCCCACTGGCGTTCTAGTGGCCGGTCGCCATCAGACGTTTTACGGATTTCTAGTGTTAAATTAAAGTAAAAACGGCGAAACTGTGTTTTTTTCACGTGCCGACCGGCCACTGAAACGCCGGTATAATACTGTTAACGGTAATTTTTCTAACAGTGTCCGTCTGTCTGTCCGTCCGTCTGTCCGTCTGTCCGTGACCTCAAATTTTCGTCGACGAGAAAATGCGCTCTCTGTCACTCACTGCAGTGAGTACTGAGTTATATTTTTTTAATTTTCAACAACACGTTTTTTTCAAACGTTTTTTTAAGCTGGATCACAACGGACCGCACCAGGCCATCGCTGACTTGGCGACAGGAAAAATAATTGAAGTTCGGCCAGCCCACGACGCAGGATTTCTTGGCAGCGCAACGCGCATGCGCGTTTCTGATCCTGAAATTTGCAGCGTCAGCATAACAAGTGAGCCAAACATCCTCATGTCGAACCTGCCTGTCGCCAACGCAGAACTGCAATGAATTTTGGATAATCTTTAGAAATATCTTAGAACGAACCAGCATTGCTTAACTTTAGCTAAACATAGAACCTATACATTCAACATGAAGCTTAGCTCATCATAAAAATTATGCTTAACATAGAACTTATGTTCAACGTAGAACTTGAGCTCAACACAAAACCTACGCTCAACATGGAACTTATAAGCTTAACCTAGAACATGCACTCAACATGGAACTTATGTTGAACATTGAACTTAAGCTCAACAACATTGAACTTCAACACAGAACTTATGACCAACACAGAACTTTCGCTCAACATAGAACTTAAACTCGACCTAGAACTTATCATCAACATAGAACATATGATCAACATAAAACTTACGCACAATATAGAACTTAAGCTCAACATAGAACTCATGTTTAACATAGAACATAGAACATGATATGCTCAACTTATAACTGAAATCATAGATATCATGCTCATCATAGAACTTATGCTTATCATAAAATTTATGTTCGTCTGCACAGAAACTGTGCCCGTCATAGAACTGGCATAAGAATCCTCAAAGCATTGGTGAAATGTTTTTAAATATTCGAAAAGCTCACAAAATGCAGTTTATTGCAGTTCGTCATACTCGTGCAATATATATATCTAGTTTGTGATACAGAAAATATTCTTTATTATTAAATTCCTGGAACATCTTTGATATTTTCAAAACTATTTCTGACAATTGCCGTCTATTAACATAAGCGCATTATTCAAATGTGAATAACGACAATAAAATGTTTTTTCAGCACGCAACGATCATCATTATTGTATTACAGCACGTAACCACCATCATCATTGTCTTACAGCACGTAACAATCATCATAATTGTATTACAGCACGTAACCACCATCATCATTGTCTTACAGCACGTAACAATCATCATAATTGTCTTAAAGCACGTAGCAATCATCATAATTGTTTTACAGCACGTAACCACCATCATCATTGTCTTACAGCACGTAACAATCATCATAATTGTCTTAAAGCACGTAGCAATAATCATAATTGTCTTACAGCACGTAACAATCATAAAAATTTTCTTACAGCAAGTAACAATCATCATAATTGTCTTACAGCACGTAACAATCACCATAATTGTCTTACAGCACGTAACAATCATCATAATTGTCTTACAGCTGTCTCTTATACACATCTAGATGTGTATAAGAGACAGGTCCCTCCTTGTCACTTCGTCTCTTAGAGATGCTAACGCTGCTTCCTTCGAGCCAGCTTCAGCGGGCTGGACAATTGAGACCTTCCGCCCCTTGTGGGCGATGATTACTGTGAGATTTTGAATAATTGAGACCTTCCGCCTTACTGGCGATGTTAACTTTTGACCTCCGGTGCGAAATAGCTTGATAGCTGAAGCGCTAGTAAACCATCATACTACTACTACTTATAAAACGAACGGTCAGTGCGTACAATGTAAACGAACGGTCAGTACGTACAATGGCTGCTATACAACGAACGGTTAAAACGAACTACAGTCGAAAAAAAAACGAATTTCAGTCGGAAACGAAACGTTGTTATAAAACGAACTTCAGTCGGAAATTAAGCAATACAAAAACTACGTGGATGAAATTCCTTACAAAAATATTCCCTCAAATAAAATAAAAATGGTATAATGAAAATTAAAATATAATATTATATAATACCTATTTAATATAATAATATAAATTCACTAAAATTTCTTTGAAGCGACAAACTTCCGATACCAAAAAGTTCTATTTCGCCATCGACCGTTGTAAAGAAAACAAGCGGAATTACTTTTTTAAATTACATATTTATTTTATTTTATTCGTCTTTCTTTTAAATCAGGATACATCAACTGTCTCGGCAATGTCTACATTCAACGACCTAGCTTCAGTAATTACCCTTGACTCACAATCACAACTTCTGTGCAGTTTTGGCGTCAGGAAGCAAATATGTTGAATATATTCTGTTAAAAAAAGCCCATAATTTAGAGTTAATTTTTGGCGAACAAATATGGCGGACAGCTGGTAAAATTTATGTTGCAGCTGCGGCTAGATATGAGTATTCTCAATGTTCGTAATGTTCTTAATGTGTTCGTAATGTTCTTAATGTGTACGTAATTTTCTCAATGTATTCATAACGTTTTTAACGAGTTCGTAATGTTATTAATATGTTCGAAATGTTCATAATGTTATCGTAATGTTATTAATATGTTTGTAATATGCCATCTATATGTGTTATCTTATATCTATATATGTGTATCATATATATGTTATCTTAATGTGTTGGTAATGTTCTTAATGTGGTCGCAATGTTATTAATGTTTTTTTATGACAGAGGCCTCCTCGTCATAACTACTGCGATTACACTTAGGAAAACGAATGGGTCACATTGTCCAAATAGTGACACACTTCCTTGCCCCCAGCACGAACAGAGATCAGAATTAGAGCTGGATCGCCTTGTTTCGGGACAAACTGGGTCAGGATGACCCACAAAGTGTACGATAAGTGCAGCGATATTTAAAAAAAATATAACTCAGTACTCACTGCAGTGAGTGACAGAGAGCGCATTTTCTCGTCGACGAAAACTTGAGATCACTGACGGACGGACAGACAGACAGACAGACAGATAGACGGACATGGCGAGCACAATAGTGCATTTTTCCATAAATGAGAAAATGCCCTAAAAAGTTTCACTCATTTGTCAGTTTCATTTCAAACCAAATCATTCACACCTTGTATGATATTTCGCTTATTTGATATAATGTACTTCTAGGATTATATGGATATCAAATGGACATATACTTCTTTCCCTATATTGTTTTGGACATGAACGATTACTCAGAATATGTCGTTAGTGTTGAAGCTGAACAATGTATCTATTTGACTGAAATCTATTGAAATGTTATGAAATAAATGCCCGCTGATGAATACGAATTATTCAGGCACTTACGTACATCAGTAGCAGGAGGCCTAATTTTAATTATTAAATTAATGATAGAATGAATTCATGAATAAATGAATTAAATAAGTAAATCAATAAACTGGTGTTGAATAAACGCATATCAATATTACAAGGGCAGACACAAAATCAACGGCATATCTAATTACCGTGAAATTTTCTAAATAAAAGTCTACGGAGCTATAACTCAATTTTTAATTTCAATTCTTTCTTCTCAGACGGTAAATCTGAATGAATAATCATTGTTTTATCAACAAACAAGGCCTTCAAAATTCCCAGTTTTGAAATCATCTCAGTTGATTTGAATTAATCATATCATATCAAGTCAATGCTTTCAACAAATCCCAAAATTTGCTATACTTTCAATAACATGAAACGCGAAGGAAAAGAATTAAAATTATTCAAATATGGAGGTCAAAATTTGAATAGGACAACTGAATGATAATAGACAACTAAAAACTGAATTTTTAAAGGACAAATTGTAAATTTTAAAATTAAATTTTATTTTTCGAAGAGAATTTTTTACCAAAAGTTCCGTGAAGGCTTAGAAAATGCTCGAAGCATCAAGTTAAATACAACACCCAGGAAAATGAATGAGTCAAACTATGCAAATAGTGACGCATTTTTTCAGTTCATCGTACCAAAATGGGTCAGGTTGCAACACTATTTGGACAAAGCCTCACTCATTCCTTTGCATGAGTAAAAAGTTTTAAATGAATAACATCAAGATAATTTAAATATAATTCATCACTTAATGAAAATGTTAACTCACCTGTACATGACTCAGTACGATGGCACTGGTGCCATGTCCCGCACAGCTATTCCATTATCCAGACTTGTGGCATGCGTGGCAAGCGTGGCAAGTGCAGGTAATGTCACTTGAAGAGTCCTTCTACGAACTTCAATTTCAAATAAAAATTGAAAACACCCCGTTAAAATAACGGTTAACTACTCAACACTTTAAATTCTATCTAAATTGTTTCAACAGTTCACAAATTGCTAAGAAACGGCTCTTTCACTATCAGTTTAGGTGCTCATATGTTTTTCTTGAAAAAAAAACGTTCTAATGAATGGTTAAGTCTGAATTTCCTTGATAGCTGAACGTAACAATTAAATCTTGTTCAGTTGTATATTTTCCATTTATTCTCTACATATATTTTTGCTGTATCTACGATATATAAGTAAAGGTAATCCTTTTCTCCGCACTGTTATTTAAATCATTAATTAATCATTTCTTCGTATGGCGTAAAGTATATAGCGTCACGTGATGGTAAAGGGAATATTGCAGTTTAATACAGCAAAATCAACACTATTTCTTCTGCAAACAAATCCTCGTTTTTGGGACAGTTTTTAAAAACTGTGATTTTTGAGCGATGTTCACAGGCACGAAAATGACAAATCAAATGAATTTTATTATATCACATATAAGTTAATTTTTTCAGTATGTTATTTGTACTGAGATTTCAGCAATAACTTGTTAAGTTTTCACTGTTTCAAATAAAAACGCAGTTCCGGCAGTGAATAATAATGATTTTCTATCTATCGTTGAGCAACAAGTGCGCTCTGTCATGCGGTCACAGGAGCTTCGGTCGCACACCCTCCCGCACTGACGTCCCAATGGCAACTGACCAGCGGCTGCCACCACCGCTGCCACCGCTGGGCCCTGCGAATCTGGGTCGTCCTCCATGCCCGTACCTTCATCCACTGATCTACGATCTACGTATTTACGATACACTGATCAACGATCTACGTATTTACGGTCTTATAATCTACGATCCGTGGATCGTAGATCATTTCATCGTAAATACCTAGATCGTACATTTTAAGATCGTAAATCTTACGATCTTAAAATGTTTATGATTTACGATCTTAAAATGTACGATTAAATGATTTACGATCTTAAAATGTACGATCTAGGTATTTACGATGAAATGATCAACGATCCACGGATTTACGATACTCTGAATTACGATCTACGAATTTTCGCAACACTGATCTACGATCCAAGAATTTAAGATACACTGATCTACGATCCACGGATTTAGGATACACTAATCTACGATCTACGCATTTATGATCTTATAATCTACGATCTATGCATTTACGATGCACTAATCTACGATTATTCAAACCATTATCCACTGACCTACGATTTACACATTTGCAAGTCTTCGTCAGCAATTGGAATGATTAAATACTTGAATTAATCGTGGATTATGTGGATGATAAAAGATGGTAGAAGGTTCGCGTTAGGTAAAAGAAATACAACTATTGCATGCCAATTGTATAGAATTTTGTTATGAATTAAGAAAATCAACCAATTATGCATTTTTAAAAGAAATTATTGCATGCAAGACGAGCGCAAACTAAAGGGTGGCGACATCACAGCAATTGGCGATGTCGCTATAAAATTTTATCAATGAAACCTTCAATATTGCGGGGGATGAGATAGATAATAAGTGGGGTAAATGAGGGAAAGAAGGGGAGTAAAGGATGGTAAAGTGCGTTAGGAGGTAGAGAGAGAGGGCGATGTGATGGGGTAAATGAGGAAAATAAAGGGATAAAGGATGAAAAAGTGGGTTAAGATGTTTTAAGGGGAGTGAGGTGGGGGAGGAAGAGCGGTGGGGCTCGTGAGGATTATTCAGGCATCCTAAAAAATACGGCATAAATCGCAAAATTAGGTTAAATTCCATTAAAATATTATAAATCTTGTATAATTATAAATTTAATTCAAATTTTAAATTCTGTTCAAATTGCGTAGTCCGTACATAAGCCATTCACATTCAACGAAACTAACTAAAGTCTTACGAACTCAAGGAATAAGTCTATAATGTTCAAAAATCTGTACGTACTACAATGTACAAGATAAAATTCCACAGCATTTCTATACATATTAAAAAATGAATACATGAAAATATTTGATGGCAAAGTGACATCAACAAAAATTATTGAGTCTGCTTATAATGTCCGTAATATGTTCATCAAACTAGTGAGACACATCAACATGAGCCAGAATACATAGAAAACAAAATTTCTATCCACCAAACGAACTTCAACTAAAAATTCTCTCAAGTTAAGTGCGTCGAGTTCAAACTTTTTCCCAACGCTGATGTTTTTGGTTGCTGCCGCAACATCTCATATCATCATGAGCCAGAAAACATACAAAATAAAACTTTCTTTCACCAAACGAACTTCAACTAAAAATTCTCTCAAGTTAAGTGCGTTAAGTTCAAACTTTTTCCCAACGCTGATGTTTTTGGTTGCTGCCACAGCAGCAAATGTTTGTCGAGCTAACAGCTATCAAACAGACGCCGACAGCAGCTTCTGTTTGTCGCAACAGTGACCAGCGCTCCGAGACAGCGGCGCTAAACGCTTCTTGTTCGACAAACCCAATTATGGCAACATTTTTCTGCTCAATGCAATTATGGTAAAATTTTTGTGCTCAGTGCAATTATGGCAACATTTTTCTGCTCAAAATAAGGCTGTGGACTGAGTTTGCAGACAGAGCCTGCTTACTGGCCTGCAGACTACAATTATGGCAACATTTTTCTGCTCAATGCAATTATGGCAACATTTTTGTGCTTAATGCAATTGTGGCAACATTTTTGTGCTCAAAATAAGGCTGTGAGTGAGATCTGCAGACAGTCTGCTTACTGGTCTGCAGACTGTGTAATAGTTAGGACGTGGACTAGGTCTTGCAGACAGTCTTCATACAGACTTGCAGACTGTGAAATAGTAAGGCCGCGCATATGGTCCTGCAGACATAGTCTTCTTGACCTGCAGACTGTACAATAGTACAGTCTCATTAACTTGGTCTTGCAGGCCACGATTTTCATGGTCACGATTACAGTCTCTGCGGATGAGGGAGGTTGCTGATACCTAAATTACGCATAAAATAAGGGAAGGAAAATTGGGAAGAGGGAATTGGGATAAATTAGGAAGAAATAAAGTTAAATGGCTACTTAGACTTAGTCATTTATGGCAGGATCATTCCTCATGACGATCAGACATTCCATGGCTTGAAGAATGACCGAAGAATGATGTCGACAATTCTACAACTATCTACCGGATTACTATGTCTACTGCAGTCAAGATGGCTGCCTTCATGCATAACATGACTTCTGGCTCACCATCCGATGTGTTCTAGTTGTTCATCATGATGACTTTTGATCTCAGCCATTGAGATGAAATTTATTTATTCGACTATAACGTTGAATGTCCGAAATAGCCTTGTGTTGTTTAGGCAAGCGACAGTTGTTGAAGATCTTCACACTTCACAACATTTCAATCATTAGAGTATCAAAGCTGCTAAAATTAAAACAGCAAGAATTATTTTATTGAAGCGAAAATACTACTTTTTAGAATGATATTATTACGGCATGACTACTACTTATCTGATACTCATCTTATGAGACTAGAATATTAGTTTATTGGTTGAGGCCTGAATACTCTATTTTTGAGACACTTTTAGTAAGGCTAATATATCACTTTTTCGAAACTTTTTCGTGAGGCCGGAACATTACTTTTTTCCAGTCTTTTTTCGATGCCTTCTTAAGGTACACGTCTTAAATGCTTGATGAATATCACTTTTTAAGGTATCATTGCTCCAGACTTTAAAGCATAGAGTTTAAACTCTTTTCGAGTATCAAGGATTAAGACACTTAATTTAAACTGCAAAATTCACACCGCAGGATCAGGATCACTCCTTTTAAGAAGGCCTTAAAGGGGAAACAAAACTGTTTATTTTGAAGGGCCCAATTTTCGAGTACCAAGATCCTATCGAAGGATCGCTTGTAAATAAGGATCAGATGCAAGATCCTACTAAAGGATCAAGATTAATTTTGAGTACGAAGATTCTACTGAAGGATCAAGAGCCCTCGTATTCGAGGAGCAGAGGCAAGATCACACTGAAGGATCAAGGCTACTTGTGAGTGCAAAAATCCCACTAAAGGATAGTTGAATTAGAGGAACAGGAGAAAGATCCTACTGAATTAAGGACCAAGAGCTTTTGTTCTCGAGTGGCAGGGATCAAGATCCTACTGAAGGACCACGCGTAGGGGCAGAGGCAAGATCCTACTGAAGGACCACTCGTAGGGGCAGAGGCAAGATCCTACTGAAGGACCACTCGTAGGGGCAGAGGCAAGATCCAACTGAAGGAAAAGAAATGGGTTGTGAGTAGGAGGAAAAAGGAAGAAAAATTAAAAGCGAGGGTATGAGTTAGAGGAAAAGCGGTATCAGTTGGGAAAAATGTGGTATGAGTTAGGATTAAGGGAAAAATAATTAATTAAATAATGTTGAATGAGAGGAAGATGTGATGGGAAAAACCCAGCCCTCACTGTTGTGGGAGAACCCATTTGGCGACGGGGGTGCGAGGCTCCAACCCCTCACATCACCCACTCCTCGATATGAGGGACGTGAGGTGCCATATTACAGTCCCTCACATTCCCCTCACAATCCCATGCTTGTATGGCTCCTCAGACCGGCTGCCTCAGCGTCGCCATATGGCGCCTCACATGACGCCTCACAGGCCTGAGTAACCCAACACTCACCACCTTGTGAGTCTGTGCATTTATGTACCTAGCAAACGGGAGATGGGAAATTGCTCGCTAGTTCATATTATAATAGCGGTGTCAGCGTTGATTAATAGAAGTGTCGGCGTTGAAGAAATAGGTCCATGGCAGCTAGATCTGTCGCTGATTCTAAATATTACAGAATATTCATTGCTTGTTACGGACTCGAACTCGCAACTCACTGCTACAATTCTGCTGTGCTTAATTAACCGCCCGGCCTCCTCGTCAATTTTGACCGGAAACTGTCGCACAGAACTGGGATCGAACCCGCGACTCTCTGCGCCAATCTTGGTACTCTGAACTGTAACCACGGGGCCACCCTGGCCATTGGTTACAGCATATAGGCATATTTAAATTTTCATTCAGGATTGTTTTCACTGTAGTGATGAATTTATCATTTATCGCCGTCAATTTATATTTCATATAGTTGTATATATACGCAGCTTTACCTCATCCGAATAATAAAGAGGTATTCAAAGTCAGGACTAGGAGAGCCGGCCTTAGCAGCAGTTATAAGTGTGTTCAACTTAAAATTGAAGTAAGTAAAACACAGTGAGTCCATCTTTAATTAAGTAAATCGAGCTAACAGTTTATCCGTGAATATTTTGCAATCTTTACGAATATTATTTTGAATATTCTTAATATTCATTCTTTAAGCTGCTCTATACAAATTTCAGCCGAAACTGTAGGTACCGAGCACAGCGGCAACTCTTCTGCACACAAACATTTCAGTATTTCTAATATCTTTCAATAGCCTTATTTTCCTTTTTTTGGTTTGAATCAATGTCAGTTGAATTTCATTTTATTTTTTCCAATTAAAATTAATTTATCTATTTGAGAGAAGTTGGACCTAAGTCAAGGCTTGAAATTTTAAGGTATGTAATTGATCAACCTAAATCTAATACTAATTAATTAACCCAATTTAAATCAATTTATCAAATGAAGTTTGTTCACTGATTCTTCGGTATCCTATGATTGTAAAAGTGAAAATAACTTCTATTGAATCTTAATTTTTTTTAATTCTAATGCAGCTAAAACCTGC